AGAACTAGCATATATTTAGGAAAACAGATCCACTGTCCCTTTCTGGGATCACAAATTAATCTTCTCTTTGGGCCCTACATCAGCTAAGAAGAGGCATAAATAGGGTGACTGTATTAGTTTTAAGGAAATCCAGGGTGCTGCCTTCCCCCCTCCCCCGTGCCCCTGTGCTGCCGCCGCCTTTTGTTTCCATTTTCACCAACCAGCCAGGATGCTAGGAGAATCTGTCCTGGCCAGACTGGGACGTATGTCACAGTAGGCATAAAGACATTTCTGCTTGAATGTTCAGCTAGTTTGGCCTCCCATCTAGGGAATCCTCTGGAATGCAAGTGGTACAGAGATCCCCATGCTGACCTGCCCCACCAAGGGAGAACTTGGCTCCTAAATGCAAAGTACAAATTGTGGCTTATGCTGTTTGCTTGTTTTCTGTCTTTAGGAATTTTTTTTTTTTTTTTTTTTTTTTTTGGCCCTTAGAAGTAAAAGTCCATTTCTGCCTGTGACAGTCACTGATGCCTGTAGAATAAACATTTTGCTGTGAGCCTGATGTTAGGCCCTTCATTGGCAGCAGTTTTGTTTACCATTTGACATTTTTGTTGCTGGTGACATGCCCTTCAGGATTTTTATTTCCTTATCACAAAGCACAGCAGCATACTGGAGTACAAATATTCTCCTAAAACTCTTTAAGACAGCAGATAAACCTGTACTCTTGAGAAGAGAGAATTTGGTAGTGGCACAGATTTTCCAGGCAGTTGTAGCCATTTCACATTCTGTTTTTTCCCTAATATAAGAGTAAAACCAGGTTTGAGGATGCATATACCTAATTCTTTTTCACTGTTTCCCTGGAACTGCTTGTACTTATATGGTAGTTGTTAGTTAGATCTGACATAGACTTAGATGCACAGAAAAAAATCCCCCTACAATGACTGTGCTGTGGCTATAGAATATAGTGGTTATGTTTCTTTTAAAAAACAATGCGAGTATGTGTTTTGGTGGCAGGCTGCTCATCTCATCAGGCTGCATGGGACAAAATGGTTCCTGCTGTACTAATGTCTTCAACGTATGAAGAAGTACAGCAGCAGGTAGTTGTTGAACCAAGTCTTTTAGGAATCAAATGAATCCTCCTGAAGATTTAACTACAAAGAATTTCTCTCTACAAAGCTAAACCAGTTTCAAAGCCTTATCGGATATACAGGATATACCTGAATCAAGAATTGCTTAGAAAGCCTCACTCGCAGTCAGGTAGAAGATACCCAAAAAAGGCATCATCCTCATATTAACTGTGCTTCACTCTTACCATCAATAAAACTCTTAAAACACTAAATTCTGGGACAGTAAAAACTGACTTGATTTTCTAGTACTGTAGTTTAGAGGGAACTTTAATACCCGTTGTGTGGGAACCTTTTTCCTCCCCATGTATAACCAGTCCTTTCAGGGGCCGCATGCCACACAGGACTATATCAGAAGAATTCTTTGCCCAGTTAAGCTGCTTGCATTTCAGTGTGATGAGATGCACGTTTCTGTGTTCACTGGGGAGTTTGCTAGTCATGAATCCTAGAGGTGAGTTTGATTGTTGGAATACAAGATAATGTTTGCTGTGATTAAAAAGAGAGATAAGCGCCCTTCTGTGCACTAGCTATGCATGTATATCTCTACCACAGGACAAGAATTTTGCATTTTCTTTCTCTTGAATGAACACACACTCATGTACAATTGCTGCCTGATTTGTTTGGTTTTTCACCCAGGGGAGTTGCTTCAGATTTATGTTAAGGCAGGTAAGACCAGAATTAGACAAAAATGGAATCTTCAGCATGTGACAGCAGCCATACTTACAGCTCAATATGAATTAGGAATAAATGAGTTCAGCTCTTTAGAGATCTTGAAAAGGAAGGGGTGGGGGAAGGTTTTGTTTCCCCTTTCACTTCCATGGTGGGTGGGTGGGTAGGTGTGCGTGTGTAAAAATCTCTCTTACAGGTGAAATAATCCTTGGGTTGTCACCTTGCTGTGTTAACACTCTGTTTGCCAACTTTGTTTATTAGCAGGCAGGGTAGGATGGCACTTATAGACTAACTCGTTGAGAGGCATGGGCTTTTATAGACAACAGTCTACTTTGTCAGATGCCATGAGTGGACTTGATTGGTTTCTTTGTTAGTAAAATGGAAGGGACGGAAGAAGGCACTTCCTAGTTGAGAGCAGACCTCAGATCTGATCTCTCTTAGCCAGTGTTGGAGTTAATTTAACAAACTCCACCCCCTCCACCCCCATCCCCATCATCTTGCTTCCATAAGCACACTCGCAACCAGGTGTTTTTGTTTAATTGGTGCTTTTCTAGTGAAGGATGGAAAATTGGAATTTGCTACGGGTTGGTAAGAGTAACTGGTCAACAAATTGAACTTAATAAATTATTTTCTAATTCTAACTTTTAAGGATATCATTAATCAGGTGGAAGGCCCTGTGCATAATGGATATGTTACTCTCAGGGTAACAGCTAGCTTGAATAGAAAATAAAACCCAAATGCATTAAATTACATAAGCTTATCCTCCTTGGCCAGCTGTATGGTGCAAGCAGTGTTGTGTCCTGTCACTTAACATTTCTCAGACAGCTTTTCCTATTCTTGGTGCAAGAATTAGAGTGCTTCTTATTAATTCTTTCCCACTGAGCATCTCTGTTTGCTGTCAGCCATGACCATGCCATTATGCAGCAACTGGTTGAGTTTGTTCTATACCTTCTACAGACATGGGCTTGACAGGCAGGCGGCATTTGCTTTCTTTTATTTGTGTGGCTGTATTTATGCTATTTGCTGCTTTGTAACATTGAGTATTGTGGATAGATGTATCCCACTGGAAACTGCTAGGTTGTTTTCTGCTTTCTGTATATCCCAGTAGGATGTTTAAAACAAATGTGTGTGACACCAGCCATAATATTTGCTCTTTTGTTAGATGTGGTTGAGAAACATTGGTGTTACTTCTACTTTTGACTCTTCCTCAGAGCTTAATTTATACTCTTATGGCTGACTTGGGGCAATCTATGTACCTAGACAGAGTTCCTAGATGGTTCCTCACTGACCCTATCCTTCTGCTGTCGCTCCATTCCAACCTTAAAGTAATAGTGGAAGAAGCGTCTACCTTTTCCAGGGAAGTATGTGAAAAACAAAGGATCCCTCTGCCTCCAAAAGCAGTAGGATTCTGCTGCACTTCTAAACAAGTCCCTTACCACCCCTTGCTTCTTCAGAACCTGGAGTGAATCTCATTGGGAGTGCTCAGGACTACTTGTTTCCTGGTTCAGACAGGCTCCTCTGCTGGAGTGATGTTGATGGGAGAAGAGATCTTGGAGGGAACTGCCTGCTGAGGTTCATGAAGCAGTTGCTCATTCATAGATATCATAGACATTAGGGCTGGAAGGGACCTCGGAAGATCATCGAGTCCAGTCCCCTGCCCCAGGGGCAGGAAGTAAGCTAGGGTCAGCGGATCCCAGCAAGATAGATGTCCAAATGTTTCTTAAAAGAGTTGAGAGTAGGTGCTTGCACCACCTCTGGAGGCAGTCTATTCCAGGCTTTGGGGGCTTGGACAGCAAAGAAGTTTTTCCTTATGTCCAGCTTAAAACCGTCTTGGAGGAGTTTGTGACCATTTGACCTGGTCATCCCTTGGGGCGCTCTGGTGAACAGGTGTTCCCTGAGATCTTGATGTACACCCCTTATATATTTATAGGCAGCCACCAGGTCCCCCCTGAGCCTGGGCTTTTCCAGGCTGAAGAGTCCCATGTCTCTCAGTATCTTATCATAGGGCCTGTTCTCCTACCTTCTGATCATACATGTGGCTCTCCTCTGGACTCTCGCAAGCTTTTCCACTTCCTTTTTAAATTGTGGAGCCCAGAAATATTTTCTTCCCCAGGATAGAGGTCTGGCTGATAGGCCTGTAGTTCCCCAGATCTGCTTTACTCACTTTCTTGAAGATAGGCACTACATTGGCCTTCTTTCAGTCTTCAGGAACTTCACCTGAGCACCACAAGTTCTTGAAGATCCATGCCAGTGGCTGAGCTATGATGCCTGCCAGCTCTTTAAGTACCCTGGGGTGTAAACTGTCTGGGCCAGCTCACTTGAAGGTGTCCAGCCTCTCAAGGCATTCCTTTACATGGTCTACAGTGATGTAGGGTAACAATTCTCCCTCACCCTGGCCGTCCAGAACTGCAGTTGTTTCAGGCTGCCTGCAAATTTAGGGAGTTGTCATGGTACTGGTTATAATTAAATAATTTTTTCAAGCCTTTCTTTACAGCTATGGGGATTAGAAACTTTGCGATGAAAGCTGCAGTTCTCAAGCTGTGACTCTAGGCACTGGTAATGTAGTTTGTCTCTGCATTTACTCAGTCTTGCCTCTCTTTCTGAATGTTATGGGGGTTTGGGGCTTTTCTGATACTGCACATTGGGGGGATACTTTTGGGTCAACAGAAGTGGTAAAGCAAGTTGTGAAACTGGTGGAAGAGGGTCACTCTGTTGGTCAAAGAAATGGGTTTGTTCAACACACTCGCTCTCGCACTCGGGGAAAAAAGTAAAGTTAACAGACAGAAGTCAAGACATGAGAGGGAGCTAAATGAATGGCTTTAACTGCATCTGGGTGTGTTCTTCCCTTTCCCTGTTTGTACCAGTGTCATGGCAATTCTGTGCTGCAAGCTGAGTTCCCTTTTCCCTGTGATAGAACCCTCCAACCATCAACAGTGTTTGCTGTTGAGGGATAGAAACTTCATCTGTTTTTCCTCCCCCTTTCTTTCCTTCCTGTTTTCTCCAGTCAAGAGCTGAAAGCATGAACTTTGTTAATGGCGAGAGTGATTTTTACAGCCTCTTTTTCCTGTGATTTTGGGGAACTTCCGTAGTTTAACTTGTGTTTTATTTACTCAGTATACATTTTCTAGAAATATCAGATCAGCCTTTGCTCGTCTACTTGGATTTCAGACCAATAGTTCACAAAAACTGATTGAAAATTCACACTATCTTTCTTTTTTTACATTTTAGCAAACCTTCCCCAATGACGTCCATTGTGTTGAGGAAATCTTGAAGGTAAGGGTATAGCTGTCACAGTTCAGTTGTTTAAAGTCATACTTATGTAGTGAATCCCTTGTAATGTTTGCTTGCATGCCCCATTTCCCCCATCCCCCAGATTTGATTAAATTAATATGGGGAGAAATTATAGTGTGCTTCTGTTAGATCAGTACATATTGCCTGTTAGAAATGTCAACTTTGGGCATCCATCAGAGCGCACAAATAAAACTAAAAAAAAATAGCCATCTTTTCTTGAGCAAATATTCAAGCCAGACTCTAAATGCAATAGCTCTGATTGTACACTAAATACTACAGAACCAAAAAATTCTGTCCCTTTGTCCTGGGATTGGTGTTTTTGAATGTGAACCTTTTTTTTCCTCCAAAGACACTGAACTCACTATGCCATCCTCACTACCCCTATCCCTAACCAGCCTGCAGAGCAAAAATTTGCATGTGGTTAGTATACCTATGGACTGTATCTCATCTAAGGTCTTTGTTTTCACAATGTGCTTCCCTCAGTGTTGCTTGAAGCAAGATTCAGAATGCTGCTGATGCTTTGATTGCTCTCAGAAAGTAATCTTACAAGGAACCCATGTCTTTTAAACACTTTGTCTACGCGATATAATACCATGGCAGGAATGGTACACCTCGGAATACTTCACTGTCCTATAAAATTCACTGTCTAGCTTTTAAAATATGATCAGTATTAATATTGTAGTGCCAGAAAGAAACAAATCTTTTGTTTGCTCAGGATCCCAGTATGCTAGGCACTGTAGAAATAGGTAAAAAGCCATGATAACAGTACAGTGCTTCAGGGAGCTTGTAATTTGTTTTTGCAACAAGTCACAATTAGAGAGAGAAATGATGGGGAGAAAGAGAAGAGAATACAAGGGAAACGTTTGATCAAATTATCATCATTAACATTGTTAACTGTGATAAGAGGCACATAAAGATGATAAATAGGTCTGTAAAATCCTCTGCCCGCAGTTCTTGCATAGAAATCTCTCTAGACTGTTTTAATGGATGTTTGTAGAGCTAAATACAGCAATGTAGATATATTTCACGGTAAATCTTTTGATTTACATATTTTACTTCCTAATGTTCTTCTTGAAATGCTATTTGGTTGGAAAAATGGTGACATTACACCTTTTCCCCAATGTTGCTCTAATTAGAAAAAAAAAGGATTGAAGACTATTACCTAATAAAGACTTTAACACCATTGTGCATTTGACACAGTGCAGAACCTTTTTCACTCACAGTTCACCTGTCAGTTTCTGTAATCCATGTGATATGTTTATAATCAGTCTCGCATTTGATTTTGTTCCTACATGAGTGAACTTCTGGGAAGTCGGTCTCAAGTTTTTGACATACTGTTCTCCTGTGAAGGTTGTCTGCAGTGATGCTCATTCGGAATGATGGGAGGTTAAATGTGGAAGAGCATTTGGGCTGCAAGCAAGAGATATTACTGTTAATGAACATTTGAAAGTGTTGAGAAGGAATATTCTCAGGAAAGGAAGAAAAATGGCAAATCCTAGACACATGTTTAATCCTTGGGATGGGTATGTTCTTTGTGAACTGCTAAGAACATTGGCAGGAACCAAATCAGTTCCATCTTCTGAGCTTCCCAAGGCCCTTTTAAGTCCCTGGGGCCTTGTCTAGATTAATCTTTATTCAAACACCAAAGCATGTGTTTAAAGCTGGGAGCCTTGTGTATCCTAAACAGTTTAAACACGGTATTTATAATGTTAGATAACATTTTAGAATCCCTAGTTTAGGTGAGACTTGACTATTAGAATGGGCATTATTGCCCACCTCACCTGCTGATACCTGGCTTGCTTCATTTGAGGAAGTGACTTCTAACTGTGGCTGTAGGTAGGCTACATCTATGCAGGCCAGGGGAGAAAGACAGGAGTTTCTAAAGAGCTAGAATTGCCTCATTCTGTCTTCCTCCTCAAATTATAGGACCCCAGCAGACACAGGAACATTCTTCAAACTAGCCAATATGTTGAGGTTTTGCAAGCATCTCCAGTATGCAAAGTCTTTATGTCAAGACTACCTGTATTCCTAAAAGGGATGAAGTAGTTCACCACAAGTTTTGTAGGATTGTTACAGTAATCCCTGAATGAAATTCTGTGGTGTTATGCAGGAGATCAGACCTGGATGATCATGATAATCTATCCAGGCATTAAAGTCATGTTAGTGCATTTCTATACAACAGATTGCTGGAGCAGTAGAGGGTTTGTTTATAGTAGTGCCTATGTGGACAGCTTGTGTCCCAAATCTGAACGAGTTTTTGAAGAATAAATAGGAAGATTGAATGAAGGTCTAGTTTAGAGTTTGACACCTTTCTGCTATGGAGGTCTTCTGAAAGGGCACCGTTAATTTATTCATTGCATTACCACTGATGGGTACAGCAACTTTCAAAACAAGGATGACGTACTTTGAAAACCAAAGATCTATGTGTATAAGTTTTTTATTTGCTTCTTCAATCATTAAATATAAAGGTGACAATGTAGTTAGGACTCAATCGTGCAAACACTTCCACTTAATACTTAACTTTAGGCAGATTTCAGTGGGTCTACTGACATGCATAAAGGTTGGCAAATTAAGGTACACAGTTGTCTATTCAGAATGACCAGAATATAAGTTTTGCCATGTTCTTTTATATATGGGCAGATCCGTGAGGAGATTTTCAGTGTATTAATATGGACATTTTAAGCGCTGAACGTCTCCTATATAAAAATGTTTACCAGCCACATTTTTTCTTTTAAATCCTTTCTAGGAAATGACCCACTCATGGCCACCTCCCTTGACAGCTATCCATACTCCAAGCACAGCCGAGCCTTCAAAATTTCCTTTTCCAACAAAGGTCATATATCTCCTTTTAATGTGTAAAATACAGCTTTTATACCCTTGGGTGTATTTTCAGACTATCTCATTTTTGGTACAGCCTTAGGCTGTTAAATTTTTGTTTGTCTTTAGAAGAAATCATATAAAAGAAATGAAAACCTGATTGATTTCACATTAGAAACTCATCTCATTTGCTTAGAAATTAGTTCAGCTTCTGCTTCTGAGTAGTTGGGCTTGAATGGGTTAGTCTTGTTACATATGTCTTTCTGTAGTCATCTCCTAGTATTTTTTTTAAGTGAAGTCTGTTTTTTTTGGAGTTAAGACATGGTTTTAGTACCAGAAAAAACTTGGGTGAATAACCAAGGGCAAAAACATCTAACCTGCAGGTGGGAGAAGAGTACCACAAAGGTTTCCAGTATGTCGTCTGTATTTCTTACAGCACAATTAATTGTTTTTTTATTTCCCAGTTAAAATGTTTAGTTCTTTTCACTTAAAATTCATATACTGGTTATGTACTCTTAGTGCATGTATCTCTTTTTTTGTGTCTGTTCTGACCTGAGTACATCTTAGGCTTTGTAACATCAAACAGTTAAAGTTCAGGAAAGCATAGTTAGCTCAAGCTAGACTATTCCTTATGATTTTTTTTTGTAAGTGTCTGCAATTCCATTTGCAATGCTTGAAAGGTATAAGTTTTCTATACCTTTGCAAAGTCATCCCCTCAATCTGCAAAAGTGAGAGACCAAAGTGCAAATTGCAAGCAGACAATATTGTAATTAATAGCATATAAGATTTGATTCAGGGAGGGAGGGGTGTGGGTGGGTGGGTGTATGTTTTAATGCAGTATTTTCATGTTTTGCTTTTTACTGTACTCTGTCTTTCTAGGAATCCCAGCATGCTGGATCAGTAATACAAAGCCAGAGTAAGTAAAAATCCAAAATAGTCTTCCTGTTGTAGAAGGGAAACTATACAGTGTGTGTGATCAGTAGTATCTAATTTAGGAGCACAAGTGCCAGCTCTTTCTTGAACTTTGGTTAATTTAAGCAATTCCGAAATTTGCCTGATTAGGGCCTTTTATTTCTATGTAACAAATAAGTAATAAAGGTAAAACTATAAAATATTAGGAAAACCTATCTTGATTGGCAAATAGCCATAACAATAATCTACATAAGCATATATCTCCTTTTAATGTGAAAAATACAGCTTATATACCCTTGGGTGTATTTTCAGACTATCTCATAAATCTGATAAAATTTTGAAGTTGAAAGCCTCATTATTAAAGACACAAATAAAAAGTTATTCAATAAAATATTGTGCAGTGAGATGCAGAAAACCAACTGCGTTTCTTTGGTTTTACAGAACAGTATGATGCAGCTTCAAAAACATTGCCTAGTTCTCAGCAAGGAACATCGTAAGTAACATCGTTTTTCAATAACACATTCAGTTATGGAATTCTGGCGGTGGTTTCCCACTTTGTTTTTTGCAGGAATTGAGGTTTTAATTTCTGTAATTTGCAGGGCTAGATCCAGTGGCCGTTGATGTTGACAGAAAGGTTTTCTTTTAATTTTAGTGAGTACTATACCATGCCATTAACAAATAATTTTAAATATTATTGCTAAGGCACTGAGGTTTTTCCTTCTTTAAATCTTTCACTGCTTAATGTCCTGCCACACTATCTGAACTACAAATTTATACATGAAATTGAATCTTCAGTGCACATTCACTTTTTTGTTTCTTTTTATGACCCACTATTAAAGTCTGTGAAGTTTAGGAAAGCTCCCAGTACCATTATTTCTTATAGATAGAAGTACTTGCCCATTTGATTTGTTGGTTTCCTGTTCTTGGATAAACATTTGCCCCTCCAAGAGTCAAGTTTTGGCCCCAGAATTGTCTCTTTTTTTAGCACTTGGATTACTGGTAGCTTTTTGGAAATGATAGATACAAATATGAAGTGGCCTTATAATATTGGTCTTTTGTGTTGTTGTTTTCAGTTGTCCAAGAAAAAGTTTCCTGAGTGATTTGGTTGCTGGTTTCTCATTTGTTAAAAGTGAGCAATCATTGTAATCTTTCAGATTTCTGAAGGGTTTTTTTCTGCTGCTTGATCAAGGTTGTGGTTGAGCTAAATGCTTACAATTCTTCAATTCTAACCATCTGATAGCCATCTATAGAGTATGTGAAGAAGTTTTTCTGGCTACAACTGGCTATTTACTTTTCTGCCTCTGTGCTTTGCCTTTTTAACTGCAGGCTTTTTACAGTCAGCAAATTTTTATACGTGTCTATAACAGGGGTTTTCAGTACAGTTAGCAAAAATGTTTAACCAGGTACCTTTTGATTTAATCTCTGTAGTTTTATTGCAATTGAAAACTATACTGGATATACACAAACTGTCAATTAATGGTTCTTAGTGTAATGTTCTAATTTCAAGTTGATCCTTTTTCCCTCCAGAAAAACTATAAAAATCACACTTAAGCTAATCCCCACAAATAAGTTATTTATTAGGTCCCATACAGTCTTGAATTTTGTACTTGCACTATTTTGGTTCAGACGATAAAAACGCAAAGGCAGATTTTTTTTTTTTTAAATACAGTTTTTATTTTAGTATTTTTAGGGTATTTAACCCCCTTGAATATTGTCCTTAGTTATTTGATGTTGGATTTTGGAAGGGCAAAAGCAGTTCAAGGTCTTCCTTGACTTCCTTTTCAGGGGAAAAGCTTTTATTTGTTTATTTTGCTTTTTATTTCCCCCCCCCTCTAAATATTGAACTTGAAAATGCGGGGTTGGCCTTATACGCAGGGTCAATTTATAATTGGAATAATATGAGATAAATTAAAAGGAAAATGGAACGGAATGTGCTGTGACCTTTTCCTTACTGAATCCTTTACTCTCTATTAAGAATCCTTACTGGCATATCTTTATTGCAGTAAAAAATGATAATTTACACATCTAATAGCTTTGTTTATAGAACCAGTCCTTTAGGTTTTCAAAAGTTTTACATTGTCCTCGTGATAAAAGCTGATTTACAGACTAAACTAAAAAAGCTTTTTTTTTTAAAAGTTTTTGGAATCCAGTTCCACATGTGACTATAAAATAGGCTGCCCCTTAAGTAGTACTCCCTATCGCCTCAGGCAGACAATCAGATGTATAGTGAGACCCAGTGATGCCAGTGGAGTTTCTCAGGGGTAGAGAATTCTACCCATGTGAATCAAATTGTGAGATTGTAGTGTCAGGTCTTTGTTTGTAAAAATCAAAATCTGTGGAAGTATATTATGATTAGCTATGATCGGAGGGACTGCTGCCACTGCTGGCCCACTGAGCAACCCTTGCAAAGCCAGCAGGCCAAGGCACTTAAGGGAGCCCATCCCTGCCCCAGCACTGGTACAATCTGTGGGCAAGGCAAGAGCCCCCAAGGCGACACTTGCCTGCCTGTACACAAATGCCAGGAGCTTGGGGAATAAGCAGGAGGAACTCCTCCTCCTCCTTAACACAAATAATTACGATGTCATAGGGATAACAGAGACCTGGTGGGACTCCACCCATGACTGGACCATGGGTATAGATGGCTATACCTTGTACAGGAGAGATCGAGTAGATAAAAGGGGCGGGGGTGTACCTCTCTATGTTAAGGAAAGCTACGCCTCCCTGCAAGCTGATGTTGGCAGCCAGGGTGGACGACTGGAGACCCTGTGGGTTAAAATCCATGGGGAACATGGCACAGGGGACACAACGGTGGGAGTCTACTACAGTCCTCCCATCCAAAGTCAAGAGCTTGACCAGGAGTTTGCCTGGGACCTGGCTGAGGCTGCATGCTCCAGGACCATGGTTGTCATGGGTGACTTCAACTACCCAGACATCTCGTGGGAGGATCACTCAGCAAAATCCGAGTGGCCACAAAGCTTGCTATCATGCGTGGATGACCTCTACCTGACTCAAGAAGTCTACAGGCCAATGAGAGAGAAAGCGCTGCTTGACCTGGTACTGGCTACTGGGAATGACCTAATTGGTGACCTAGTGATCGATGGGAAGCTGGGTGACAGTGACCACGAGCTGATCACATTCACCATCCACCGTAAAGCTGGCAAGTCAGTCAGCAACATGGAAGTCCTTGACTTCAGGAAAGCCGACTTTGACAAGCTCAGGAGGCTCGTCAGTGAGGCCCTAAGGGACCACGACCCCAGGGGGAGGGGAGTTCAGGAAGAGTGGTTGCTCCTCAAGGGAGTGATCCTCAATGCACAAGCTAATTCTATTCCATCTCGGAGGAAAGGCAGCAAGAGGGCACAGCAGCCCCCCTGGCTCTCCAGGGATCTAGCAGACCTCTTGAGGCTAAAAAGAAAGGCCTACAAAGGATGGAGGATGGGATTCACCTCCAAGGAGGGATATTCTGCACTGGTCCAGTCCTGCAGGGAGCAAACCCGGAAAGCCAAGGCTGCAACTGAACTCCAACTAGCTTCGAGTATCAAGGACAATAAAAAGTCCTTTTTCAGATATGTGGGGAGCCGGAGGAAAAGCAAGGGCAACATTGGACCCCTGCTAAACCAGATGGGACAACTGACGCCCAAGAAAAAGCCACCTATTAAGTGGGTACTTTGCATCGGTCTTTCTTCAGTCCCATGGGACGCCCATGCCGACTACGGGACAGGGAGGTCCGGGTGAGGGGGATCCCCTGCCCTCCGTCAATGCTGACCTTGTGAAGGAACACCATGAGAGGCTGGATACCTTCAAGTCAGCTGGCCCTGACGATCTACACCCCAGGGTACTCGAGCTGGCGAGCATCATAGCCCAGCCTCTGGCATGGATCTTTGAGAACTCCTGGTACTCTGGTGTAGTGCCCGAAGGCTGGAAAAAAGCCAATGTGGTGCCTGTCGTCAAGAAAGGGAGGAAAGTGGATCCAGCAAACTGTAGACCCAACAGCCTGACCTCTATCACAGGGAAGGTCTTAGAAAAGTTTATTAAAGAGGCTGGTATAGTACCTTTATTAATGGACTGGCCAACACCAACATCCTGAGTGATAGCCAGCACGGGTTTGTTGCAGGTAGGTCTTGCTTGACCAATCTCATTTCCTTTTACGACCAGGTGGCCTATCACCTGGACAAGAGAGAAGAGATTGATATCATATATCTTGACTTCAAAAACACCTTCCATCTGGTATCCCACGATCACCTCTTGGCGAAACTGGCCAATTGTGGCCTTGGGTCCACCATGATCCACTGGCTGGGAAATTGGCTCTGTGGTCGGACACACAGGGTAGCAGTGGATGGAAGTCAATCGTCATGGTGCCCTGTGACCAGTGGGGTCCCCCAAGGCTCCGTCCTTGGACCAATATTGTTCAACATCTTCATTAATGATGTGGACATTGGAGTCAGAAGCGGACTGGCCAAGTTTGCCTATGACACCAAACTTTGGGGCAAAGCATCCACACCTGAAGACAGGAGGGCGATGCAGGCTGACCTGGACAGGCTCAGCAAATGGGTGGATGAGAACCTGATAACACTTAAAATGCAAGGTTCTCCACCTTGGGAGGAAAAACCTGCAGCATCCTTATAGGCTCGGCAGTGCTACACTGGCTTGCACTACGGAAGAAAGAGACTTGGGGGTCATCATTGACCACAAGAACGTGAACCTTCAGTGCGATGCTGCAGCTAGTAAAGTGACCAAAGCACTGGCTTGCATCCATAGATGCTTCTCAAGCAAATCCTGGGACATCATTCTCCCCTTGTACTCAGCCTTGGTGAGGCTGCAGCTGGAGTACTGCGTCCAGTTTTGGGCTCCACAATTCAAAAAGGATTTGGAGAAGCTTGAGAGAGTCCAGAGAAAAGCCACGTGCGTGATCAGAGGTCAGGAAAACAGACCTTATGACAACAGGCTGAGAGCTATGGGGCTCTTTAGCCTGGAAAAGCGCAGGCTCAGAGGTGATCTGATGGCCACCTATAAGTTTATCAGGGGTGACCACCAGTATCTGGGGGAACGTTTGTTCACCAGAGTGCCCCAAGGGATGACGAGGTCAAACAGTTATAAACTACTGCAAGACCATTTCAGGCTGGACATAAGGAAGAATTTCTTTACTGTCTGAGCCCCCAAGGTCTGGAATAGCCTGCCACCGGAGGTGGTTCAAGCGACTACATTGAACACCTTCAAGAGAAAATTGGATGTTTATCTTGCTGGGATTCTGTGACCCCAGCTGACTTCCTGCCCCTGGGGCAGGGGGCTGGACTTGATGATCTTCCGAGGCCCCTTCCAGCCTTAACGTCTATGAAATCTATAATGATATTCCTTCCCAGCTGACGTCGGCAAAGAAATACTGGAGGGCAAATGTCTTCAAGTTAAGATTCTTTAGGAAAATTCAGCTCTACTCCCATTGACGTGAATTCCAGCATCAGGCCACAATACAGCATTTTGAATATCCTGAATTTAATG